GGGCGGAACAGATTAGCCGTATATACATTGAACCTTATGGGGAAATTTGCCTTGTGGTGTGACCAAATTCGGAGGGCGGAACAGATTAGCCGTATATACATTGAACCTTATGGGGAAATTTGCCTTGTGGTGTGACCAAATTCGGAGGGCGGAACAGATTAACCGGATTTACATTGAACCTTATGGGAAATTTACCCCGACTTGAGACCAACTCGAGTTGCAACCAGAATCACGGAACGGATTAAGTTCGTAACTAGAGGTACCACTGTACTTTGTTATAAGAACAGGTTGAAGCATCTGTATTAGTTTAGAGCAGTATTTCTCAACCTCAGCAACTTTAAGATGTGTGTACTTCGTGTTGGCTGGGGAATGCTGGGAGTTGAAATCCACACATCTTAAAGTTGCCGAGGTTGAGAAACAATGGCTTAGAGTAATGATTTATGGCTGATTCCCTGGAGCAAGTAACAATTGCAGCACATATCTGTTGTGCTGGTTTAAAATATTTGTGATCATTTCTTTGTGATGTAGGGGGCCATTTGATATGGATAAGACATAATCCATCCTCCTCCACAGCATTAGGGCTCAGGTCAAAGCTGCATTAGGAGCTTGAATAAATAAAAATTCTGGAAAGTGGTCATTGCCAGGGCAGCTGTCAATAAAACAAAAACAAAAAACTGAATGAAGGGGACCGTGAATTGGATGACAGCGCAAAAGGGAGCAGGTTGGTGGTCCTGCAAAGGAACTCATCTGTGTCCTGCAGCTGCTGTGGGACAGTGGCCATTTTGGCCATCATCTTTGCCTGCACTATGGAAACGAGACTTGGGAGATGGCTGTCGGGAGATGTGATGGGAGATAGGGGGGCAGGCTGCTGTTGGGGAAGGCAGCCTCAGTCCCTAGTACCAATGCCATGTTCCAGCCCCCTGTGTTCAGCCCCTGGGCCTGGTCATCAGAGTTTCAGTGGCCTTGTGCTCTGCCTGCTGCTACTTAATGCAAAGCCATCTGTAATAATGCCTACCTGATCCATGATTAAATCATTGATGAGGGGGCCAGCCTGGTATGCATTTCCGAAATCTTGTTGGGCATCGGAGGTGTGTGTCTCCTTTTGGGGAATCTGAATTGAAGGTGTAGCACCAATTGTGACCCCAGAGCAGGGGCAGGGATGTGGCGATGGCCATCTAAGAAACTCTGGTGGCTTCCAGGAGCATTACTCCATAGACAACCAGATATGAGACCCTGATTGTGAAGTGGGGCTTAGGGACGAGGTGGGCTTGCTGCCGGTGTACCAGCCTCCCGGCTGCCTCCTCCCCATACATTTTTTCCCCCGCAGCTTTGCAGCAGGACATCTCTCACACAGAGTTGAAAGCAAGGCAGGAGAAAGAAATGGACATAAACCTAAGAGAAGGATGTGACATTACTAAACAAGATGGGTCTCAAAGCTGGGAACCATTAAAGAAGCTAGAGCAAAAACTAAAGACATTTCTGATAAGGGTGTAATATGGGCTGATTTCTACTTTAGGTCAGCTCCTATTCCTTCCCAAGGTGTCAGTGCTGCTTCCAGTCCAGGAGCTCCTCCTCAGAGCAATGTGACCAGCAATCGGAGACTGCAGCAAGCCCAGGCTCAAGTGAATGAGGTGAGCTTTGCCCAAGACACCTTTGTAGATTTTGTGATTATGGCTGATATCATGATTCCATTTTTAAATCTGGAATTGCTTATTCCCCAGGGTGCACAGCCAGTAACCTGGGGTGAGTATGCAAATGACAAGTTAGGCATTGCTGTTATATGAGGATGTCATTTTTCAGATTTCCTCAAGTGATGGATAAATGGATAAGAACATTCAGTCACTGTTCACTGGGTTCTTTATTTCCTTTCTGTGTTGAGCTCCTCTCAATAGCAGACAGTATTACATACATTACAGACTGTAGTGAGTTTAAAACAAACAAACGAACACCAGACCCTGTGTGGAATCAATAACATGGAGTTGATAAAACATGGAAGTGAATCAAGCCACAGCTTATGGTCAAGTAATAATTGTTAAGCATACTCATTTTACATATGGCATTCTGGAACTTAAAGATAATTGGAGAATGAATCTGTAGCAAAATACTCAACATGTATGCAAAGCTAATAGTCCTAGAAAGTAAGAGCACCAATGAAATAACACTAATTCATTAAGGATCAAGGAGTTCAACTTGGTAAATATTATCTATGCAATTAAAAGAAGAAATTACTGAAGTTAGTACTCAAAGTACAAATATATCTATGGATTTCTTTAGATGCAATTCTTTATGGTACAGGAAAATGCTCTAAACAGCTGACTCGTTGACACCATCAAGAAATGGGAACATAGCAATATCCTGTCTCTGCTTATCACAAGCTCCAAGATCAATCAGAAGTCATAGAAATACAAAGAATCTTTTTCTGGACTGGATTTTTTGCAAAATATTCTAAGTGATTTTGGGGCATACAGTGTCCTTGAAACAAATACTTACCTTGAGAAGGTATTTGGAACTTGAAAAAAAGTGCAAAATAATTGTATATTACTTGGATTAATTAATGTGTTGTGATAAATCAAGCCATTGTGGCTAATAAACCATGGTTTATGGCTTACTATATTATGTCAGCTCAATTAATTGCAGTAATTCAATAATCATAGTTAACAAATCATGGTTTTGCACAATGCACGAATACAGAAATAGATTGGGGGTTAAACTCATAGTAGTCTCAGTCTGATGGTACTAAACTAGTCCCTTAGGTGGCACTAAACACTCACCATAGAATCTAGTTCAGCATGTGTTCATACACATTGCATAGAGAAATTGTATTAGTTTTTTGTAAGCACCTTCAGCAAAAACAGTCTATCCAAATAAGGCTTATTTTGCCCATTAAGAAATGTTATAATGAATATAGCTAAATGTGATTTGCTGTGTGACTCAAAAATCGTATTGGCTAGTGATTGTCAATTGTCCAGAATTTAGTACACCCATGCAAAGCCATTTTCAAAATACCCTTTCATTTGGTTTTGCACAGCTGTATTATGTAGTTAAGGACACAGGAAAAATAATGCTAAATAGAGATAGGAAGGGAAGTGGCTATGAATTTAAACATGGAAAAATTGGATTTGCTTAGGCTGTTTAGGAGGCAAATATTTGTAGGTGCCTGCAAATATTCAATGTAATCCTTAGAGTAACATCAGCTCAAATCAAGTAGTCTGCTATTTCTCACAAGGCAATATTTCTATTCCCTTGAATTCTTATCAGCAAGTTTTGTTATTGTCTGATTTCAAAACAGCAATATTACATCATCTCCCTTCTACTAACTGAGAGCAGTGCTTTACTATGAAAATCTGAGTATTCATTTCGCTGGTTATTACAATAGAATAGTAAGTTTTTCTTCAGAGGAAAAATTGTTATGGGAAGATGTCATTTTTTAGAAGCATTTACAGTCTGAGCACATTTTACTTCCATTTAGAAAATAATTTCTTGGTTTCAATTTGACCTTTCCATCTACTCAGGATTTAAATAAAAACTCTTACTCTGATTATTTCACTTACTGATCAAAATTACATGTGAAAATGCCCTGATTATAAGTTCCAGTTTCCATATACTTCCCTGTCTCCCTTCAAAAGCTAGTTGTTTGACCTTAATCTTTTCTTTTTTTTCCATTCATGAAATGTTCTTAATTTAATAAAAAGAGTGCTGTAAACTTGTGCAACAATTTCCTCTCTTTCAGTAGTTCAATACTGGTGTTTCCCTCCCTTGTTTATGGTAAATTAACAGAAGAGTAATGGGAATGTGTCATCCTACCCTGCCTCTGAAGTCCCTGCTCCTTGAACTCCTGGTTCTTGAGACCTTCCCAATCACATACTGACTAGGATTAGTTCTTAGCCTTTTGGACACTGCACAAATTAGACATAGCCCCCTTCTTTCTGCATACATTAATGTTTGTGTCCAGAGGGAATGTTAAAAAAGATATTGGTAGACTTGATAACTCAACTGTTTGCCCACTATAAACCTATGGCAACTTTTGATTGAATTTTCAAATAAAACTGTCTTGTATAATTTTTCAGTAAGTAGATTGTGCTTTATCTTAGAATTATCCTTCCTTTATCAGATATTGAAAAATGGATGCTACTCCAATACTTTATAAGTAGATTTACTAAAAGCTGTGCTAATTTCAGGTGGTGGACATCATGCGGGTCAATGTAGACAAAGTACTAGAGAGAGACCAGAAGCTTTCAGAACTTGATAACCGAGCAGATGCTTTGCAAGCAGGAGCCTCACAATTTGAAACCAGTGCAGCTAAGCTGAAGAGGAAATATTGGTGGAAAAACTGTAAGGTATACTTGACTACCATATGATACAGTATAATTTTATTTCAAGAGAATTAAGGGCAAAATATCAGCCTAAGTTCACTGTGTTAGTCAATTAAAATGAAAATTTTGTATATCCCTAATCAGGGATTCTGGAGTTTGATAAAAATGTACAAGTTGAGGCTATAATACAGTATTAATAGAGAAGAACAGATTATCCTAATTCAAAATGTTGTAATTACACCTTCCACATAAAACAGGTTGTTCATTTCCTACAAAATAAAGGATTCTACCTGTTGGAAGATTCAACACCATGCACCAACTTTTTGCCCTATAAGCTTATTGGCCACTAGGGGCAATAGATGTTGGAAAGGTTAGCAGAGAAACTCGCATTTTTACCTCCTTTCCTTGTTTAGCAAGATTTACTTTGCATGTCTGCATGTAATATGCCTCCTGTTGATTAGACTGATATTCCCATCACTTCCAGGCCCGGGTTTTCTTTTCCTAATATTTTTTCTCTCTTCGGTATTGAAGGATGCATCAGGCTGCCTCTAATCTCTAGGTAAACTACTGTAGATAGTTTAGGCTTACCTTACCTTTACCTACCTTATTTTCAGAACAAAGATTATCTTTTTTTTTTTCTTTCACACAAGGACCAGCTTCCAGGATTCTTTCTACAAACATAATTCTCTAACATTATTGTTTCTCACTATACACATTCTTTCTACTGTAAAACCCTGCCTGACAGCAACACTACCTAGGGCTGTGTGAAGCAGGGTTGCAGCGCTCTGATTCCAGTCAACAAAGCAACATGGTACCGTGATACAGAAAATAAGGTGCTCCACTTCCCACTGAACTGAAGTACAGCCTCATTGTCTTTTTTGGAGCTATACAAAAGGACTTTTAAGAGTTTAGCACTCCTTTGCATTGTTCAGTCCTAGCCATTGCAGATTAGGCTGCTATTATCCATCCATCCTACCTCACTCATTGAATTTTATGAGGGGAGTAATTATTTTTCATTGTTAATCCAGTCTTATTTTCCTACTATTTTTCTTTTACTGCTATGCCAGCAATTGGTTTTGTATTTTTTCACAACTCTCCTCCTTCAATGAATCGTTGAATTACTTTGAATCTCTCCAAAGTAATTTGGAGGCACATAATACAATTTGACACCTTGAACTCATTTGAAGTTTCAGCTTAAAAACTCAACCCAAAGGGCTGATTCAATCAAAACTTTTTTAAAGATCAAATCATCCCTTTAGAGCATTGTACAGTCATAATAAATGGGACACATCCGTAACCTGGAAAGGCTGGGGTATCTCCATTTGAATAAAAGCAAACTTCTCTTTTAATAGCAAGCTTGAGGTTAATTATTTTGTTTTCTTTTCTCTTTCTAGATGATGATTATGCTGGGTGTAGTATGTGCAGTCATTCTTATCATAATTATAAGTGAGTAGCAGGAATGTTCATTTTGACTGACTTCATTTCATTTTATAATGATTAGCCAACTGTTCTGAATAAATGATTGATCACAGCATTTACAAATTCTCTTGGCATTATCCCCATTTCCATAAAGAGAAATACAAAATTCTATATCACAGTTAGAAAACAACTAGATTTTAAAAGCACCATTCTGTAACTGCTTATTTTGCTGAGTGGAAGGTATCTCTGCAGATGGCAGCACTTGGCTGACTGGTTTGGGCTGGGAAGATAAGAGGACTCAGGGCTGGTGAACAGCCAGATAAGATTTCTCCAAGGGATACAAGGGCTATAGACTGTAGTTTTAGGGTTTTTTAATCCCAGAGGAAGGCAATGGCAAACCACTTTTGAAGAAGTCCTGCTTTAAAGGGAAAATCTTCATGATTAGCAAGGTGATAAACACTTGCATAGAGTGCTCTAATCTTGGTTTTCTTAGAGCCACCAACAAAGTCCTTCTGATCCCAGTCACAGCACAATCAGAAGTTACAACAGCCCAATGCTATAAAAGTGAGACCCATTATGATGATTATAGCATGAATACTGCACTGGATAGCTAAAGGGTGTTAAGATTTCATCATCAGAGGAGGTTTCACTGGCCAGCAAGGACATCTTTCATATAATGTATTAAATGTGTCTGTTGATGTCTCTTGTTATGAAAAGGGGTTGGCACAGAATATGGCCTTGCAGCTGAACTTACTGATCAGCTATGCTGAGCACTCTTTACACTGAGAGGGCAATCCTCCCATTAGAAGTAAATGGCACTGTGTTGTACTCAGTGTGACTTTCTTTCATGTCCATACCGTCAGCATTTTAGCAGAGATGGATTAATTAACCAGATTTCCTATGAACATCTTTTAATGACTGATTTTCTTTTTATTTGCACTGTGAAAGCTATAGTAAATTCATTTAATGTGAAGACATGACAGCTTTTGGAGCAAGTTTCTCACTTTGTTGAATATTAATAATACAGAATCAGTGGAGAGACTAAACACAATTTCTTTATTTAAAAAGAGCCAAAATTGTTACCTCACTCCAGTTCAAAGTACATCATTTAGTCATCATTCATGTCCAAACTAGTCTTAGAAAGAAAGAAAAGGTTTACATTGATTCTCTGAAGTTTATTCATTTATTTAGTCTTTAAAGGAGTGGTTGGGATTTAAATCTCCAGGATTTACTCTAGAAGTAGAATTTGCTGAGTATATTATTTCTATAGATGAAAATCAAGCACCATGTTTGGGGCATGAATCGTGAAGTTGAGGTGAGTCATGGCTGCCAGTTTTTAGTAAAATTGTTTGGGATGATTATGGAATAAGGTAGTTTCCCAGTTTTAAGACATTTGTTTCCTTATCCTTTAAAGCTAGAGAATGGAAATATTTTCTATTTTATCTCTCTGTGTTATCCATTGGTACTAAATGCCATGTTGTGCATGTGTCTGTATGCTTATCAGACAAATCTCATTTCTCCAGCTGGCAGGCATATGGGATGTTAACAATATTTTCATTCTTTTTTCTTCCAGTTTATTTCTGCACCTGAAATATTAAGGTCAAATGGCTTGGTGTGACTACACTCATCTTTTCTGATAATTCCACAAATGAAATTGACATTTTAATTTTTAGTTTTGGGGCTGGTTGCCTGCAACAATGTGTAAGGATTGTTTCTTTGGGGTTCTCTTTTCAGGTTTTGTTTTGATCAAGGGGGGTGGTTGTTGTTTTTTTGTTTATTTGGTATGTGCTGTTCCTAGAAAAAAGTGTGCCAGTTAAAATACTGCCGTCTAGTTTCACTCATTGATCTCTTGCTATGTCTTAAAACATGAAAATGCTGATCTTTAAAAAACTCTCATTCTTGAAAGCTATTTCATTTGAATTAAATGAACAAAAAAAAGTCACCAGTGTAAAAATAAAAGGGATGTTGTAAATGGGCTCTGACTGAAAAGAGATTAAATGATGGAAAAGCTGTTTGCAAAATTAGGTGCCATTTAGACCACAAAACCCACCTCAGATTCATAAGAGCTGATCTTTATAAAAGTGGAGTACGGTATGCATTAAAAGCAGATCATGTTATCAGAGTGCCTGTTTCAGACATAATTTATTGACATTTTTCATAGAATATGTATGCTACCTTTCATATTGATTCATCCAATGATGGTTTATAACTGAATATTCTAAAAATATTAAAACTGGCATCTAAAAATAGAAATGAAAAACAGCAGTAGAAAACAGATTCATAACAACATCTAGGGCTTGGGTTTTTCTTTTAGATTTCAATCTTATTAAAAAGGATGTGACAAACCATCATTAGAAGCAATCTATCCTTCAAAAAAACAATGTAACGTGAGTCAAGCATAATTAAATTAAAAAAAAAAAACCTTGTACCCTCCCAATTCCCCAAGTTAAATACAAACAATAATAAAATAATTTAAAAACTCACACATTTCTCAAATCTTGTAAGATTTTTAGGGCAAAATCACTGAAGTCTCAGAAGACCTGGCAATATTCTAAGATACAGGGTGGTTTGGGAAATAAACCTACACAGTGAAATCCAGGGCAGAAATTATTGTTAACCTTTGAAGTAGATTGAGAGTTCATGACTGGGTTCCTAAGGCGACTCACAGTATTTATATGCAAGCAAAGACTTGAATTGGTTCACCCTTGTCCACATCTTCCTTTAGACCTGCAGTCAGCATGTAGTAGTCCTGAATAGCTGCTGAAGCTCCAGTGTCTAGTCAGAACTCACCACTGACACCGTCCTGCTCCCATATTCAGTTTTTCTGGCACTCAGTGCTAGACAGCTAAGTTTGCAACCCAGAATTTAATTTTTCCAAAATAGCCTCCAAGATCTTGCTGAACTACAACTCCCAGCATCCCTCATTATTGTCCACACTAGATCAGTTGCTGAGAGTTGCAGTTTTATAATCCCTAGAGGTTCCCTAGAATGATGCCAGACAATTAAGATTGATAGAGTCATGTTGTGTGAGATGGGCAGCTATATAAATATGATAAATAAATAAATAAAAATAAATAAAAGTCCACCAATATAAGATCCAATAGAATACTTTGCCAAGACTCTCCCTCTGTCAAGTTTGAAGCCAGGTTTACCCTGTATTTATAAGTATATGCACTGTCTAAGATTATTTTATTAAAATGATAATTAATGGATCAATGTGTATACATGTGTTGATATTTAGATTACCGCAACACGCTCTACAGGGGACTGCCCTTGAAGAGCATTTGGAAGCTTCAACTGGTGCAAAATGCAGCTGCATGGGTGATAAATGGTGCCGGATATGTGGCACATGCAACACCACTACTATGGGAGCTGCATTGGTTATCGGTGTGTTTCCAGGTGCAATTCAAGGTGCTGGTTGTCACCTTTAAAGTCTTGCATGGCTTGGGACCGGGTTATCTAAGGGATCGTCTTCTTCCAATAGTTTCTACCAGTCCAATTCAGTCTAAAAGAATGGGGATGCTACAGATCCCATCAGCCAAGGAATGTCAGCTGGCGGGGACTAGAAGGCGGGCCTTCTCAGCAGCAGCCCCTGCCCTTTGGAACACTCTTCCTTTGGGACTCAGGATGGCCCTGACCCTGCTAGCCTTTCATAAGGCTTTAAAAACCTGGCTATGTGCCCAAGCCTGGGGTCCTGAAAATGTTAAGGGCTCCATTACCTGGTTGCACTGTTGATTTTTATGTAATTTTTATGATAATTATCAGCTGCCTCTCTCTCGCTCTCTAATTCGTAATTTTTTTAATGGTTTAAATTACTGAAATTGTTTGCTGCCCAGAGTCACTTGGATTGAGAGGGGCAGCTATAAAAATTGCATGAATAACTAAATAAATAAATAAATTTAAAAACAAACCCAATTATAAAAATAGAGTGAGAATAATTCAGACTGATGAGAAGCTCTGGTTTTCAATTGTGTTTCATGTTTTGATATTCTGTTTTAATATAGAATACCTACAACCTTAATTAAATTGAAAAGTACTGTGCTACTTGTTGCTCCTGTTTTGGTCTTGAGATTAACTGCACAAAGAGCACATGTACCAGTGAACAAAAATTTCTTTAAAAGGTGTAATTCTTTGTGATACAAAACTTTTATTCTAACTTCCCCTTTTCGCCCAGCCAGTGTATCTTTAATGGTTGGTAATATGACTGTAATTAGCCACCTATTAAACTGAAATATCTATCTTTACGATGCATTATACCCAGGTATAGGATGAATTGGTGGCAAGTCGGAATGCAATGCAAAAATCCTTTAATATTCTTGCTTCCTTCCTTGCTCTAAAAAATCATTGTCCCCTAGCTCTGCTTTATAAGACATGTGTGTTTCTCCAAGTGTTGCTGAACTGCCACTCTCAGCATTTCTCATCACTGCTCATACTGGCAGTTATAGTTGAACATCTGGAGGGTGTAAGTTTCTAACTGCTCTACTAGTCTGACAACACCCAAGCTGAAAGAAAGCAGTGTCTAGTGAAATGGACTGGATGGTTGAGGACTGTATGTTTCAAAGTTGGCCTTGTGGATGAATTACTATACAATCTTGTGTTTGACAGAATGGTATAGCTCCAAATTAAACCCTAAGTTTCTGCTCATACTAAAGTATCTAAAGCAATGGGGACCATAGTCCTATTATCTTGATGCAGATTCTTACAAAAACTGAATCTGTCATTTCTGCAAATTGTGGGAGAGCTAAACACTATCATGGCTAGTTTGGTCCCAAAATTTGTTGCACTCCTGAATTTGTGAAACCTGATTTCAGCACTTCACTCATTATTGAGTCAATTGATTATTAATTTTTCATTCAAATCTCTGAACATAATAGTGCATTTGCGCTTGCCATATTCACTGTTTCCTTATTCTGAATCTGTAAACAACTGCTCCTAAATAGTAAATATGCATTCAAATTTGCAGAAAGGTGCCATGTTTAACTCTGTACTATATAGAGGTTGTATCAGTTTCCATTCACTTAGGGATTCACTGAAACATACAATTCAACCTGGGATGTTTAAACTTTTGCATTAAATTCTATGTTAGACCCTTTTTTTAATGTCTCAAGTGTAGGACTGTAAGAGGTCTCTGAACTTCAGGGCAAATCTCTCAGATGGGTTCCTCAAATGGTGAGAAAATTCAGGCACTGAGCCCATACCCCACCTCACCCCAAGTTGTGCCAGTCAAGAAGAGACAGGTGAAAGTTAAAATGACAGCTTCTTTTCACTGCTGGTGCAGAAGGGTCTAACTCGTTGCTACCATCTGGTGGTAATCCAGATTTTTGTAGCCCTATGTCATGCAATTAAGTTTCTTGAAGGTGTGGGACAAAGAGTGGGTAGCAATGGGGGAACAAGGCAGAATCACTAGCTCCTACAAGCTGAAAGTTAGCTGAATTCTCTGTCTTCAGGTACATTTTTCTCAAATTCTTTTTTAAAGTAGGAGTTTTATAAACTCCTGCCTATAATACTTAAAAATACTTCACAACAATTACCACTGTCTAAATGCACATTAATACAATGGGTTGGGTCTAGACTTAGTTAAAATAGACCTTTTACAAACACTGGGGCTTACATTAGGCATGACTTAAGTTCTATTGATTTCAGTGGATCTACTCTGAGTAAGCTTAGATTCAACCATATACAACATATAAAAAGAACACCTGGAAACATCTGATAGCCATGCTGCCACTGTTTGATGTAGTAAGATCTGCTCAGGGCAATATCAGAACTTGGTAGTGGCTGTTCTTTTTTCCAGAACATTTTATTTGGGGAATTTCTCTCTTGCCATTCATTACAGAATTTCAGAATTATCAAGCATTGGTTTTTTTCTTTGTTAACTTGAAGACCACAACATTAAACATAAAAGGGACTCAAGTCTCTCTCTGCAGTTGCAGCTTCCTACTGAGATGACATTTAAAAGTCCCCATCTGTGAATGAAAAAGCAAAACTGTGGCAATCCAATTACATGTGGCTTTGTGAGTGTAAACACCTAGTTATGAGGCAGTGAGTCACCAAGGCAGTAACCTCATTCTGTCATGGATTTGAAAATTTAGTTTAGAGGGAAAATTTTACTCTGGCTTGATTGAAAGAAGCCTTGTGATTAACAACCACATTTGGGTATACTGCTCAGATATGTGGCCCAATAGTGGAGAAGAATCACAAGTTTGCACGCTTTTAAGTTCTCCAGAACTCTTCATCAGCTAAACTGTTATAAAGACACAGGATGGAGAAGAAAGCAAGGAAGTTCCAAAATTAGGTCAGTTATGGCCAAAATATCTGCCCTATTTTTATTTATTTTCTTGCTTCTTTCCCATCCTGGTTTTTAAAATCTTCCTGATGAAGAGTTTTGGAAAACCCAAAAACTTGCTTTCTTTTTTGTGACACAATTGTTAGTATTAATAAAGACATCATCTAACTGTAGATTTGGATTTTTTTTTCCAGCCATGCATTTACATAGCAATGATTCTTTTTTATGTTATGTCATAATAGTTAGACTAGAAATCATTTTTTTTCATTTCTCTAATACAAAGCATGTTGATATGCAAATTAATTTATTTCTATTTAAAAATAAGTAGGATTTGCATATTGTCATGAAGTCATCTGACTAGAACCTGCAGCTCTGTCCCTAAATGTTAGGGGAAAAAATATTTAGTGAAACAAGAGAGACTCTTTAAGAAAGCAAATTGAAGCCAATTGTAAGTTGCGGAACCCAACAGAACCCAATCTGTTAGGGACACTTTACATACTTATGAATAGGAAAAGAACTAATGTAGTTACATGTTCTGTCATAAAGATAATAAGGTAATATGCAGTTTGATCCTAAAATTGCTAAAACTAGTTTTGAACATCATCAACCAATCTCTTAGACTAGCTGATCTCACGTAATTGTTCTGACAATAGAACGGGAAGGATCTATCTAAATTGTTCGTTTCTTGAAGGAAAGGCAAGATGTTGCTATATATTTAAAATTGTAAGATGAAATAAGAGTCTTGTACAGATAGTCCTTGACTTACAACCACAATAGGGACCAGAAAATTCATCGTTAAATGGTGCAGTTGTTAAGTGAG